CCGCGCCCCCAGATCGATCGACGGCGGCGGACTCAAGAGCTTCAACGATTCAGGGGCGGCGTGAGTGGGCTGGTCCATGAGGTACTGCTTGAGCCGGAAGTACTCGCCCGCGGAGATCCCAGACATATCTCCCAGCTCGTCCACGAACCCCAGCGCTTCGACCTTGTGTGGCCGCGCACATGCCAAGCTCCGCAGAGCCCCTGCCGCCTCGCGCGCGACGTCCTCCAGATCCGCGCGGCACGCTGCCGCCCACACTTGAACCGGTTTCTCCCTCGCTATCAGACTGAGCCGCTGGGACATGATCTCGAGCGGGAGCTCCATTTCGTACTTTGTCGCAGCCTGCAGCGCGGGCACCAACCTCGATGGGTCATCCAGCTGCACATGATGCTTCGTGATGGGGTACACGAGGCGCAGCAGCAGCTCGAAGGTCGCGCTGTCCTCGGACACGGGCACTACCGGGGGGTCCGTTTTAACCGAACCTTGGACCTCCACAGAGGACGAAGCCGATGGGGCGGCGGGCTGAGGGAGTGCGAGCATGGAGGCGAAGAACGAGGACGCTTGGGCGAGAATCTGGGAGTGTACGCGGAAGTCGACGAGGTCGGAGGTGCGCAGGATGAGGTCTGCCGAGGGTTGGTCGAACACGGCTGGCGCCTTGTTGGGCTGCTGTTGGGAGTCTGTTTGGACCATCGAAGAGTGTGATTGATTAGTCTTTTCTGGCACTGGGAGATGGTAGAGAGATGAAGTGAGGTTGGATAGACACTACGTGGAGTCTCCGTACTTTATACGAGTACGTGATCGTGCTGCGGTATTGCTGCGGTAGAACGCGTTCCCGATGAGCAGAGCTGCATCTATGAACATTGCATGGTGACATCTCTGCAGAATTCAGGTATTCATCCATGTACCTGAAGAATAGAACTCGACACTGTTAAACCAACGTCTCTCGAGGTTCTTTCGCGTCCAAACAGCGACGGAACAATGAGAGCTGGATCCTGGCGGGTCGGTGAACTGACGGTTGCAGCAGGGAGTTAGACGAAAGCTGCATCATTCGATGACTCATAATATCGGTCCAAGATGCAATGTGATGGGAATAAATGGATGGATGATGGTAGGTCGAATGCAGAGAGGACTATGTGGAAGATGGCGACTCGAAACGTATACATACTCCGAGAGGCTGACAGGGAGCTGTGGTTCAAGGTCATGTGCGATCATTGCTATGCTGTCAACACTTGGTGTCAGTGAGTACGATTCAGGGCATAGCCGGAAGCTTGGTAAACGTACATGTGGTTCTAATCGAAATCACCGTTGCCTGTGCGACAAAGAGTGAACGCATTGGCGGTCGTAGCCCCACGCGATCAAAGTTCTAGCTGCACCTGTGTATATAGCATGCGTCAAAACATGTCTGCTTACTTCGTATAGGATTTGTCAAACACGACTAACCTTTTCGATGGCTGCGGCAATTTGATGAGGTAAAGTCTTTCCAGCCTCGATAACTCTGTAGAGAAAGTGTTCGACACTGTCGGGTAGATCGTCCTCCAAAGATGGGTCGAGTAAGGCGGTGACAGGCCGGCCACACGAAGATTGCCATCCACTTCCGAAATACTTTTCCATAGGCAATGAGACCATTCCGCTCAGATAGGTGAGGAACAAAGCTTGGTGTGAGAGCTTGATGTCTGGCGGTGAGTAGTTTTTTCGGTTCTTCGTCCCGCTCTTTTTGACTGAATCCGACTCCCAATCCTGAACAATTATCGCCAAGGCGTCTCGCACAGCGCATTCGCACGAGCGACGGTAATTAGCAAGCCTGTGGAAAGCAACCGCAGTCGCCTCCTCCATCAATGGCGAATAACTCCACTTCAAAGGCTCCGAGCCTCTTGAACGGACGAGGCTGGCCGCAGCACGAGCTTGGGGAGCCAGTCCATGTTGGACAGCGGTGAAGTAAGCATCGAGGGGAGACGATTGTGTCTTCTCGTCCCATAAGCGTTGTGCCTCCTGATAGACACTGTCGGTTTCGTAGTGGCGGCAGGTGGCCATGACTTTGGCGAGACGAGACAAGTTACGCCCATCCGAAGCAGGTTTCCCGTAGCAAATTGCGAGGATGATTGAAAGTGTGTGAGCGTCTCCTTCGAAGTGAAGGATGGGCATCCGAGTAGCGGCGTCACTAGGATGCGGCACAGATGATCCCCTCCCCTCCGAGTCGGAATGAGACTGTTCTCTCGTTTCCATCTCGGGACAATTCGGTGTGGACGGGGAGGTGTTCTGGAGGACCACGGATCGTGAAGTGAGGATGGCCCGATGAGCTTCGAAATCGACGCCATCGGAAGAGCGACAGATGACATCGGGCTGTGGGACACCGCACGCAAAAGAGGGCTGCAGATTGGAGTCGGCAAGAGGTTTGTCCGCTGCGTCATCCTCTGTTGTGGGTGGCGGGGAGAGCATGCGATAATCGTCGGGAACTTTGCCCTGTTGACGAAGAAACTCGCCTAGACGGAAATAGTCACCAGCGGAGACGCCTTCCAACGCAGCAGGTTGTTTGTTGACGATTATCAATATATCGTACAAGCCTGCAGCACCCTTCTGTGCCACAAGGAGTGCTGCCGACTTACGAGCAATCGTCTCGCAGTGCAATCGACTCGCTGCAGCCCATACACGTAAGGGTTCCTGGGAGGCGAGGCCCTCAAGCTTCTTGCTCAGGACCGAGATGGGCCACTCCATATCGTATTTCATCGCCACTGACAAGATAAGAGCAATGTTGTCGACGTCATCATCCTCCTTCTTTGCGACTGGGTAGCACATGCGAAGAAGTGTGTCCAGCGTCTTGCTGTCCTCCGAGAGGTCTAATGTCGGCGGCAGAACCTTGCGCAAATCGTCTTGAGGCTGGGGTAGCCGAAACATAGTCGCAAAGACGGGAGAGGCGATCGCGAGGATCGCGCGGTGGACACGGAACTCGACGTCGTCAGATGTACGGAGGATGAGATCGGCGGAGTCAAGATTGAATGGATAAGACGCGGGGGTGCCTGTCGTGGATTCGTGACTGAGGATGTCTGTCATGTTGTTCAAAAGCGCGGTGGATATGTGGCGATACTGGGTCGTAGTTGAATGAGATGGACGAACGCGGTCGGTAGGGCTTTTGAGCCTTGAGTTCTTCGTGAAGTCGCAAGGCTTGCCACGAGGCAGTAACGTGCATGATAGAAGCTGAGGTTGCCAGATACGGACGAGTCGCGAGATTGAGACCAGGCATTAGCTCGCAAGGCTGAAGAACATAGAGCATAACTTTGAGTGACGGCTGGAGAGATCTGCTGTGCATAGTACTAGCGGCCATGAATGAGGTCTGTTGGGCGTACCATATGTGCAAGAGTGGCTGGCCGTAAGTTCTGCTGTGCGATTGGGTGAATTCATAGAAACAGATTCCGACTGGGTACGGAACAGTACGTGAGTGGCCTGTCGTACAAACAATGGTCCTATTTGCATACCAAATTGGCAAGTCTCTGCAGGGTGGCTAAGAGCTTTCGAGCCGTGCGACGCGTCCGTACCAAGCGCCCTAGTTCGACTTGCCTCCAACCACCTCCATCGACGTTCGACGAGCCATCTACATAGGTCCGGTATATCCCTGTGATACGGCCCCATCATCAGCAAAATACGGATCAAGGCCTAACACTCAACACACCTACACGATCCATCGACATGACGATCGTGCTTCTGCCGTTTTGTACACAAACCGTGGCGTTCGTGCCTATAATTGAACCGAGGCCACTGAAGCCTCCGACAACGTTTTCGGCTATCCTTGACTGGACAGAAGACTCATGCGACATTCTAGACGATACAGAGTCTTTCGTAAGTCGATATTGGGTGAGCGCAGATCAGAGCGGCACTCACCGATAGCACTTTGCAGCTAAATGTCGCGAGTAGCACCACCGGACGGTTCCTCCACGCAACGCCCGAGGAAGTGATACGACGATACTGCAGGCCCGCGCAGAATCCACTTTTTGTTGGGTGCCAATGTGTCGCGTGCACCCAAACGATGCCGGCCAAGGTAACACAGTGGGAACCTCCCCAGGCCAGTGTTCCGTCAACAGAAATAGGTTGCTATCCCGAGAAGAAGGCGTGGTCGGGAGAAGAAGCCTTTTCAACGAAGCGGTGGATCCCCGGCGGCGTCCAGCGCAGCATATGGGGAGATGGCGACAGTTTGTGGTCGTCTACGCAGGCTCAAGCCGTCCAAGGTTTAGCGCCAACAACCGCGCTGCTGTTCCAAGGCCTATTCAACGACTACACACGGCCGCCACCCAATGTCGCTCTCGAATCTGTGGAATACAACAGTGAGCATGCCGGTCAAACCCGCCAAGTTGACAGCGTCCTTTCTCCACAGGTTTCTGCTGGAGACCGTTCTGACGCAACCAAGCGCCGTGTGCGCGGGCGGCTCGATGATCAGGAAATGACAAGGCTTTTGCGAAAGATCTGGGAGCGTACCTAGAGCTGGAGAGACAATCAGGCTTAATGGAAGTGGATTTTTTATACTCAGAGAAACTGTACGAATCAGTGAGTCCCACTTGCAGTATGAGCTATCCGTGTTCATGTGTACTGAAGCGGTGGCGCAATGCTACTGCTGTAGGACAACGGCACGAAATCACGGCGCCAAAACAGCACTATAAATCAGCAAGGTCTTTTCCATACGGGGGTGCTAGTGTATAATATATTGCATCGGAGGAGGTTTTGGAGGTTTCTGAGATGTGGGTGATACAGCTATGGTTGAGTCAGAAAGTTTGCGAGCAGAACGGCATCGGGGCCACCTACCTCAACCAAAGTTGAGACGCAGATATTCCTACATAGCTGCCTTTATCGTCTTACATCTCGTGCGGTGGGTCGGAGTATGGCAGGTATCGGTGGAGTGTTTTCTTGGCTTACGACGATGGCGGTTGAAAAGGCGTGACGTCGACGCCGTACAGAATTTCAGGGCGGGCGCGGTTTCACTGGTATACAAAAATGCCACATGTACGTTGCAGTTGTGTGGCCCAATGGTCTAGTCGTATGATTCGCGCTTCGGGTCCGTTCTCGAGCATGCGCGAGGTCCCGGGTTCAATTCCCGGTTGGGCCCCTTTTTAGCGGCGGGATTGACTGCTCTGTGACGTCACTTGATAAGCGCCTCGTCACTGTTAGTTCGTATACACTTCAATATCTGTTAGTGTCTGATGTCCACACAGACTACATCATTTCTATAGTATCCTAGGGTCGTCACCATTGATCATACGCCATACCAACGCCCGCTGAAGTAGCCATTGAGGTTTGTCAACTTACAGGCCTCCTACTTGGATTCCTCACAGAACGCCTTTCCAGACATCAAACACGACATGCCCGTTCCGAAACATATCTTCAACCAGATCAAAGCTATCATCCCTCCTCTCAATGGCTCCCTGCACAAGGGTCAGTCAGGTCGCGTCGGAGTCCTGGGGGGTGCGCTCGAGTACGCACAAAACATGCGCATGCGCTTTCTATCCCTTCGTACTCATTTACGCATAGCTATACTGGCGCACCCTTTTTCGCCTCCATCTCGGCATTGCGCATAGTTGGTACTATAGCATCGGCCCATGACCCGTATCTTGCTAAGCTCCCACTTAGGGCGCCGACCTGTCCCATGTCATATGTTCCCCCACCGCTGCTGGAGCCATCAAGTCGTATTCTCCAGACCTCATCGTGCATCCCATCCTCCGTGAGGATCAGTGAGCGCGACGCAGCATAATACCCTTGCTATCACTCATTTTCCCGCTCCAGGACCTCTGACCAGCTCAGACCGACGCTCGACTCCCTCCTCTCGCGCCTCCATGTACTCATCGTCGGCCCTGGCCTCGGGCGTGAGGAATACATGGTCAGCCACGCGAAGCTCGCGGTGACGATCGCGAAGGAGCGCGGCATGTACGTCGTCCTCGACGCGGATGCGCTTTGGATGATCGGCCAGGACCTCGCGCTCATCCGCGGATACCGCCGCGCGGTGCTCACCCCCAACGTAATGGAGTTCAAAAGGCTGAGCGAGAACGTCGTGCGTCTTCATCGTGCTGTGTGGCGCGTGATGCCGATGTGTGATGGATGAGCGTGCTGCAGGACATCGACCCGAAGATTCCGCCCGAGGAGCGCGCGATGCACGTTTCGCGTGCGCTGGGCGGGGTGACTGTCCTGGAGAAGGGTAGTTCTGACATCATCTGCACGAATACGGGCGAAGCGAGCAAAGAACAAGCACAGCTCAACAAAGCACGTTCCTTTCGTGTGTGGTGAGCCAAGCGCTCACCGTTCGCATTTTAGATCTCAGAAGGCGAGAGTACTGAAGAACGCGTCGTGGTGGACATTCCCGGCGGCCTGAAACGTTGCGGCGGCCAAGGCGATATTCTGAGCGGTACCGTCGGCACCGTCATGGCGTGGGGCAAGTGCTACGAGACCGGGGCTTTCGGGTGGGTCACATCTGGTGGCTTGCTTTATCATAACCCCAAGACGTTGACACCTATTGCAAGCGATGGCTCAATCCCACCGTCCAGGATCCCATTCCTCGCAGCTGTAGCTGGTTCGATCGTCACCCGGACGGCATCGCGACGGGCATTCAGCAAACGGGGTCGAGGTAAGCCACATTTCTTTGCACATATAGAAAATTGCAACTCATACTTATGGTACAGGTCTCGTCACACAAGACATGATTTCTGAGATCGGTGGCGCGTTCGCCGAGATTTTCGGGGAAAGTGAGAAGGGATGGGGCGCATCGGCGCCGGAAGGGAAGCTGTGAGGTATGACGTGATAATACATTGACGGAGGTCGATAAACCGGAAATATCTGTATAACATCGGACTATTGAGCGAACTACGAATATCTTCGTCGCCCAGAGGGCAAGGTGTGGACGGTAATACCTCCAAGTTAGTAGGAAAATAGGTGCAGACTACAGATTACCATATTAATTGGCGACTTGCGTAGCAGCGGAACTTGCCGCAAACTCATGAATCTAAGATCTGTTCCGAATCGTGCTCGCTCAACGCTCCTCCGAGTTCGCTCAGCCACCAACGGCTACGGCTGTTCTGCGACATCACCAGACGCTGCAATAGAATCACATTCAAACGCTGCACGAAGTTTGCGACGACAGGCGCGTTGGCCAGCAACTTCTATGGACAGCGGCGAGCAGCAGGTTTGGACGTCTTCCGGTGCGTCTGGTGTGTTCTTCCTACTGTGTGCTATAGCCCTATGTCTTATGCTGCGACGCACCCCCAGAAGATGAGGATATCGAAGAGTCCTCCGGCACAGAGTCTTCTTCCGACTACGACGAGGATTCTGGAGACGATGTCGTTGCCGGTCCGAGTGGCGTACGAGGCGGCAGCGGCAGCGTGCAGCCCTTGCCAGGTGAACAGGATGCCGAAGACGCGCAGGCGGAGGCTGCGATCGAGGGTGACTTTGACCGCCTCATACAGAACATCCGCAACGCGAGCGACGGCTCGAGCTCGGGGATGCTGAACAGGATGTGGGACATCAGCCTGGAGGAGCGCGAGGCTGAGTTTAAGGATGACTTGCGGGAGGCGTCAGGGGTCGGCAGGACAAAGAAGAGGGTACGTTCCCCTCCTTGTACTGAATTACTGGATGGTGTACCGACGCGCACCGACAGCGCGGTCGGCGGCGCGGTCCCGTTCTCTCCCAGCAAGTGCGGGCCCTCATTGGAGAGGGGAACCAAGCATACGTAGACGCGAACATCCCGGAGACCATCCGCGTCATGCAGGAGGTCATCCGGATAGAGCCCCGCGCTGCGTCTGCGTGGAGCGTGCTCGCGCAGTGCTACGACGACATGGGTGACAGCGGCAAGGGCCTCCAGTTGCGGATCATGGCCGCGCATCTGAATCACGACGCGGATGAGTGGGCTGAGCTCGCGCAAAAGTCACGGTGAGTCCACTGGTTCTGTCCCAGTGCGGCACAGAACATGTTGAACATGCAGATAGAGCGCTGGGATATAATCAACAGGCTCTCTACTGCTACGGGAAGATGTACCACCTGGACCCGACGAACGTGAACGCGCTGTGGGACCGTGCCTCTTTAGCCAAGGAGATCAACGATCTGAAGACAGTGAGCGGCGCTGTCTTATCCTATGCGATGGTCGAAGCTCAACAGTGACTGTCTCTACAGGCCCGTTCGACGATGCTCGCCATGCTTAAACGTCTCCCGCACCACCTCCCTGTCCTGGATGAGCTCCGGCCTATCCTCATAGAACTCTCCGACCTTGCCCTCTGCGCCGACCTCTTCCAGCGTGCTTTTGACCATTACCATGCCGCCTTCCCGTCCGGACGCGGACTTGATGCTGAAACGGGCGAGGAGGTGCCGGGTGGGGGGTTCGGGCTCATGCACCTCCTCGTGCTCGCAGACCTGTACAACACCCTCGGTGAGTACGGAAAAGCGGTGGAAATCATCAGGCAAGGCTGCAGGTGGCTGCAGGGGCGCGCGGCACAAAAGTTCTGGGACGCGTGCGAGGACGATCGAGAATGGGACGTGCCGGAGAGCGGGATGCAACGTGGTGGGGAGGGCGAGGTACAGCCGGGCATGTACCCGTTGGACGTGAATGCGCGACATCGGCTCGCTATCGCGCGCATCAAGGGCGGCGATGTCGACGAGGGCAAGGTATGCGGCGTTCCGGGGGTATATCATGCCGTCTCTCACTCTCGTAGATGCACGCGAAATTGGTGCTGACGCAGGACGCTGCGGAATACGCGCCGCTTTTCTCGGAAATCGCGGATGCGTACTTCGAGCGGGAGATGTATGCGGAAGCTGGCCACATCTACGAGATGCTGGGCGGTGATGCAGGTACGAGCAGCATGTACGTGCTCCTTCAAGCAGCGGCGTGTCGCCGCATGACCGGGGACCTGAAGGAGGCCGCGGATGTTTATGAGCATGGTGAGGCTTTCCTTGCGCGATGAACATGTTCCAAACTTCGTCTCACGAATGTCTCAGTCATACAGGCAGAGCCGACACACCACGAGGCAAAGATGAAGCTCGCAGAAATCTACGAGATCCTCAACGAACCAAGGAAAGCGCTCGATCTCGTTATGCAAGGTTCGTCTTTTCCCCCTCTTTGTTGATCGCATCTCACTGCAAAAACCGCGTGCTGTGATAGTGATCGAGTCCCGCAAACGCCGCGCCGTGCATCGCGACGGGACGCTGGAGTCCGGTTCCGCCGAGCCAGGCTCTGCTTCCCTCTTCGAGGAGGGCAAAGTACGCGGGGCGAAAGCAAAAGGGACCCCGGCGAAGGGCAGCAACAACCCGAACAAGCTCACAGCGGCGCAACTGCGGGAGCTCGAGACGCAGAAAGAGCGCGAAGCGGTGCAGTCGTGGCACCGCGTGCAGGAGCTGTGGCCGCGGATGCTCGCGGGCGACGATGAAGCGGCGACACGGGAGTGGCTCGTCGAGGCCGAAAAGCTCGTCGAGTCGTTTCGGGAGACAAGGGCGCTATTCTTGACGAGTCGAGTAAACGTTTTGGTCGTCCTGCTAGTGAGCCCATACTGATGAGAAGCGGCAGCATCGTGGGTTCCGCGGTATGTTCCCGAGGAGCGCACGGAAGCAGACTACGGAGGCCAGCGAGGATGACATGGCCTCGCGATTGCAGCTTGAGCTTGGTGTTTACCGAACCCAGTCTGACACTCGTAGACGTTCTGAATATTGGCAGGACGTGACACGCTGGCCAGGAAGGGTGCCAAGACGGAGAACGTCAACACCTTCCGGACGATCTCCTTCGACAACTGGATGCGACTGTTCATGCATGTTGAGTCCATTCTGTCTTCCTGTCAGTTGCACAAACGTAACCGAGCATCGTCGCGCAGTATGCTTTCTTGATGACAAGGCGGGGACAATACGAGCCTGCTAATGAGGTTCTCCGTCATCTGCTGTTCTCGAACGCTTTCCAGTCGCGCTCCTCGCAGGATTCCATACGCTTAGCTCTCATCAGTATGTCACGGTGCGATCTTGATCGGACTATACTCACGGATCGGGCCCTTTCAGCTTGCGCTATACACGCCGATCAGTTCCAGACAGTCGTCGAGCAAGCCCGGAAGTTGATCAACGGCCACCAATTCAACAACGAGCCTATTC